ATAAATAAAAACAGAATATGATGATCCTGTTCAACCTATATTCAACTGAATACACAAGATACTTAAAGGGGACCTATTATGCAAAATTCACTTTTTAAATGTTTTTTTACTCAACTTTGGGTATGTAATTCTTAAAAAACAGTCTTAGGACCAAAAAAATGCACCCAGGGGCATATTTACTGTAAGTAAATGTATTTTTAATGTATATTAATGACAAGTTTTAAACTTCCGTCATTTTGTGATGTCACAAGCTGTACGACAACCCACCGGAACCTGCGTTCAGCCCCTTACCTAGCAACCCCCAGGTGAGGCTCCACCTCCTCAGTATAAAAAGCTGTCTTGGTTGTTGCTGTATAATGTGCAGCTCATTTCACAACAGGCCTCTAGTAGGGCAATGGGTAGTGTTGGACCAGAGAGTGGGAGACCAGGGTTTGAGACCGGCACGGACACAATTATTTATTTTCATTCATTATGAATACATTTTCTCATGTACCTCTATTGTTTAGCTTATTAAAGCCTTGTTAAAGCCTATTTGTTCGAGTTTCTGAGGTATTTTGACTGCTGCTGCTCCCTGCTCTGGTAACAGCATGCAGAGTGAGCACAGAGCAGAGGAGGAGGAGGAAAAATAGAAGCTGCGACACGACTCTGCCTCTGGGTCTCATATGGTTGTACAACGGAGCTTCTGCTATTATTAGCCATGCTAACTTAAACGCTGGCTTTGGAGGGCGGAGTTAATATCAACAGATTTTTGGAGGGCGTTACCAACAGAGCTCATTAACATAAACAGCTCTTCTGAACGGAAGTCAGAGCAGGCAGAACTAGAAAATGGGAGATTTTATTATCTGAGAATTATTTTGTGCATTAAATTGAATGAACATGGTCTTGATAACCCACAGACCTACCATAAAAATTTCTAGGACCCATAATTGGTCTCCTTTAAAGTTCAAATGGATAAACTTTATTGGCTTTTTGCAATTTTTCATTCCCTTTGAATTTGTTGCCTGCAGCACGTTCCAAAGAAGCTGAGACAGGTTCATGTTTACCACTGTGCTCCATCACCTTTCCTTTTGACAACTCTCAATAAGTGTTTGAGATGGGGACACTAATTGTTGAAGTTTTGTAGGTGGAATATTTTCCCTTTCTTGCTTGATGAACAACTTCAGCTGCTCAACAATCTAGAGTCTCTGTCATATTTTACACTTCATAATGCACCCCTACATCTCTCACTTCAGTGGGAGACAGGTCTGGACTGCAGGCCACTCTTGTGTTGTTGTAACAAGTGCACAACGTGGCTTGGCATTGTCTTGCTGAAATCAGCAAGACACTGTTGAAAAAGGTGTGGCTTGGACGGCAGCATATGTTGCACCAAAACCTGTATGTAGCTTTCAGCATTAATGGTGCCATCACTCATGTACAAGTTACCCATACCATGAGCATTAATACACCCCCATACCATCAGAGAGGCTGGCTTTTGAACTTTGTGCTGATAACAATCTGGACAGTCCTTTTCCTTTTTGTTTCCCCGAGGACACGGCATACATCATTTCCAAAAACAATTTGAAATGTGAACTCGTCATTCCTCAACTTTCCCAGTCTTTTGTTGCTTATGTCTCAGCTTTTTAGGAAGTTTTTTGAAATTCAAAATGAGGCAATATTGCAATAAATAAATAAATAAATAAATAAATAAATAAATAAA